AGGTGAACACAGAGGCAGAGAATTGCTGTGTAATTTCCTGCCCATGTGTCTGATCTCCACAGGCCTTTATACTATTCATGAGTTCTTTCTCCAGGTCAGGTGAACACAGAGGCAGAGAATTGCTGTGTAATTTCCTGCCCATGTGTCTGATCTCCACAGGCCTTTATACTATTCATGAGTTCTTTCTCCAGGTCGTGAGTGAGAACTGATCTTAAAACCCAGTTCTTACACATTGGACACAGGCCTTTATACTATTCATGAGTTCCTTCTCCAGGTTGTGAGTGAGAACTGATCTTAAAACCCAGTTCTTTCAGTACACATTGGATAGTCACTGCCCTAAAGAGTCTTCCACATATCATGCTTTGTGGACATTGGGTGGCTTCCATTCTAGGAGTCAGTGTCAAGTTTTGTAAAACTAAGATTCAACAGCAATGAGGTCACCACCTATGTGGCTTCATGTCTCCATCCTTGCTGTTTGGAATTGGCCCCACTAGTTGGAAGCGAGGTTGCCCCATTGCCTTGACAGGGGCTGTTATTTTGGATGCAGCAGACTCATGAGCATTAGCAACATTTGATGAGCAGAGTTAGAAGGCAATAGTAAATATACTGTGATTGATATCTACTGGTTCTGTCTTGTGGCATTGAAAAGATGGTGGCAGTAGTGGGAAGATTTTCAAAATGTTGCATTGTAGACCAAATTTGAGTGAATTCATCCTGTGTTATCTTTAGCTAGACAGCAGTGCTTCACAGGTGACAAGATGTTTGAATGACAGGTCTGTACTAGAAAGCACTTTCTCAAACAACACTTACTTGAGATCCCAAGAGCTTGAAGAGCTGTGGCTCTCAGACTTTCTGTATTTTTTTCTCCTAGATGAGCTGGGCATTTGTCCAAAAGGTGTCACCTCCAACGTGTTCCGCTTTAATGTGTCCTCGGCAGAGAAGAACAGCACCAACTTATTCCGGGCTGAGTTTCGGGTGCTGCGTGTGCCCAACCCAAGCTCCAAACGCAGTGAGCAGCGCATTGAGCTCTTCCAGGTGAGTATTCTTATCACCTTCCCCAGTGCCTGAGCCCAGAATAGCTTAGCTCCTTAATGGTTGCCTCAATTGGTATATGCAGAGCCACAGAAGAGAGAAAGAAGAAATTGCACGCTGTAACCCAGGCTTCTTCCAGCATATTGCAATGACACAGTCACCTTTCCTTTTACAATGTGGTGCTGTCCTTCTCCCACTCACATTGGCTGCCTTCTTTGGGCATACTGGCATGGTGCCCACTGCAGCTCTTTGCTGCACTGACAAGGGGATCAGAAGGGGAGCCCCTCACCAGTGGAACAGTCCTGACCCTTCTGTCACATCTGCATGCTTAGGTCCCCAGCAGTTTTGTTCCTTTGCCTGTACAATTGGTGCTAATCCAATGTGTGGAGTTCTCTGTGTTGTCACAGACTTACTAGAAAGATAGTGCTTGCTTTCAATGTTCCCTTCAGCAGCAGCTCCCCAGGGGCACAATTCAGGTCACTGTTAGTCCAGGTTTGGAACCTATGGACTCCTTTGGCAGAATAAGGTCTGGTTCAGGCTTGGAAGTGGTCTTAGGCTGGACTGGACCACCCAACTAATGGTACAGTTTAGCATCCAGGCAGCTTATTCCCACAGGCTCATGTCTGTCCACTTTGCTGTAAGAGTGCAGCTAAAATTGCCCTGTGGGTAGCTCTTGAGGACTTCCTGGAATCCAGCTTCAAAGGTCAGAGCAATTCTCCACCAGATGACACAACTGACAAGGAGGTGATCTCATAGTTTCTGCATAGGTCCAGTGCTCTGTGGTGTCAATCTGGGGTCCTGCAGGAAGGAACACCTTGAACAGGCTGGAAGTGGGAAGAGATGTCAGAGCAGAGGAAGAAGTTTCCAAACCTGATCAGCCCTGGTGTGTTTAGTTAGAAGTTGAAGAGTGTAGGACACCTGGAAATGCCGCAGTGAAGACTCAGTAAATAGGCTTGCTGGAGAAGGGACCTGTGGCAAGATGCTCTATTGCCCACCGCTGGTTCTCCTCTGAAATCCAGATCCACATCTCACAGGTGTATATAGAAACAAACCCACCTGTTAGATCAATTGCTGTGTGCTTCTGCCTCTGGATATGTGCCCTGAAACAATGCTGAGTTGAGTGAGGTGGGCTGTGAAGGACACAGAAATAAGCACTGTGTATATCTCTGGAGTTCAGGTTGGTTGTGAAGCATGTCCTTCTTACCTGTGCCAGGGTATTCCTCGTGTCTCACTTGCCAGGACCAACCTTCTGAATTAGCTTTTAGCAGGCTGTGTAAGAAGACCGAGGGCTATCCCTTCCTTATGCACAGCACTGGCTGATTTTTTTCTACCACTCCTTCTGACACAGATCCTCCGGCCGGATGAGCACATAGCGAAGCAGCGGTACCTGAGTGGCAGGAATGTGCAGACACGGGGCTCCCCTGAGTGGCTGTCCTTTGATGTCACCGAGACTGTGCGTGAGTGGCTGCTGCACAGAGGTAGGGGCTTCACTGCACTGGGTGTCAAGGCATCCCTAGAAACGTGGATCAGTGTTGACAGGACAACCTCTCTGCTCCCCTTGTTGCAGGAGCTTGGGTCACATAGAACACAGCTTCTTTCAGCCTGAGAACAAGCCTTCCTCCAGAGAGCTTCCTCAATGCATGACATTTGCTAGATTCCTAGCTTTGTCGTGGAGGCCCCACTGTGTAGCTATTGTGGGCTGAGTCAGAATGAGGATTCATTCTCTGGAGGAAAAAACTGTTTTCACTGAGAGATGCTGTAACTTCTTTTGGTTCAATTTTAAGCCCAGAGGAGACCCCTCTGCTTGTCTAAACTATAACTGTGATGCATAGAAAATGAGGAATGTTCTGCTTTAATTTTCATGTGGATTAGAGCAAATCTAGTAGGGAAGAAAGCAGCAAGGATCCTGGTTTCTTTTGCTGTTTACAGCTTGTCAGGTATATAAAGGTAAGGAAATACCACAGCCTGACACACCTAGACAGATGGAGGCTTTGACACTGCAGAGAACATACTTCTGCCATCACTGGGCAGCCCAAGAGATAGTTATGGGGCAGCTCCCAGCAAGAACACTGACCCCATTCACAGCTGGAGCATAGGCACTGTGACTCACAGCTGGATTGGCCTCACAGATAGAAGCTAGGTGCCACTGATGACTGGAATGTAGGCACTGGCAAGCAGCCGCTCCCTGGAAGGGGAAGCTGTGAGCTTGTAGGCTCCTCCTATTTCAAGCAATCTAAGTTGTGTCCTGATGGCTGGAGTTCAGGGCTGGAACTCCAGTGAGTTCTGGGCAGGCACACTAGCTGACAAGACATCAGAGTGCTGAGGAAAAAAAGGTGCTAGGCACCTTGTCAATGCCCTGGGGAACCAGATGTTTTAATTCATGGCACAAAGTTAAAAAGGAGCTTTCATAAGAGTCTTAGGTTCCTTTAGTCAGGCCCACACAGCATGACCGGTCCAGGAAGTTATTATGAAAATAGACTTGCCTCTGGAAAGTCTGTGTGACTTAGACCGCTAACAGTTCAACAAAACAGGAGGTTGCAGCTGCTGAGAAAAATGCTTCCAGAGAAATTGCTTGTCCATATCCAATGTGCTCATTTTCAGATCTCTCCTTCAGACACTAACCAGAAGTCAGATAGTAGACAGGTACTGAGGATGGCAAAACTGACTTAACACAGACACCACAAGCCAGTGCTTCAAAATGCTTCTTTTCTAGTGGAGCTCCTTGAAGCTCACAAAATGCTTTTGGATGCTGAATAGCCTGAAAAAACATAACCAGGAGCACCCTTCTTACCTGCACAGGAAGCTCCTTTAGCAAGGGCAAGGCTTTTGGCACAAGTGAAGCTGCAGGATTTTGCTTCCCATTCACCTTTCCAAGGCAGCTTCTGCTCCCCAACTCTAAAGCATTCCTGACTTTGACACCAGCCCACTGTCTAGGAGTTAGCACAGTATATGTCTTCAGTGAAACTTCCTTGCACCAGGAGCTGTCCCAGCTAAGAAAGATTGTTTCTCATGGAGTTATCTTCTTTGCAGAGTCCAACCTTGGCCTGGAAATTAGCATACACTGTCCTTGCCATACTTTTCAGCCCAATGGGGACATCTTGGAGAATTTGCATGAGGTCCTGGAGATCAAGTTCAAAGGTGATAACGAGCTGGGTTAGGGGGGAACTGTTGGGGGAGGGAAAGCCTGGTGTATCTAAAGGAAAAATGAGATCTTGCTTTGTATATTTGAGCATTTTACATTGTGCAACGTTTGTCTTATAGCATACGCATCTGGTTTGGCTGTTGATTATATGGGTATATCCACTAGATACATCGGTTACAAAAGGAAGAAAGTCAGGGCAGGCTGGGTGGGTTTGCACAAGTGTCTGCAGAAAGGAATAATTTTGTATTTCAGTGTCCCTCTGGGAAGCTCAGCTTGAAGCCTTCTCAGATTTCTACAGAGGCTCTGCTTTCCAGTTAGGGTGACTGAAACACAAGGAAGTTAGGCATCCTGTGTGAGGTGGCTCAGAGAGTCAGT